ATGTTGAGGATGACTTTGGAGCAGTCAACCTTATCAACGAATGAGCGATTGCCTGGGCGGTGAGGCGGCGGCGTGACGCAGTGCGGAGAGATAGGGGCCCACTTCCTAAAAGGTAGTAGAAATATATTCCACGCTAGTCCAAATACACTGATTCAACGCGAAACTTCCGTCCAAGTGATTTGACTATCTAACCGTATATGGTTAGGTCATCTACTCCTTAGAAGGGAAGGGTCCCACGTGATTGGCCCGGAAACGCGTGACAGTTTGTCAATCATGGCAGTTGATACTCTATCTGTACTCCGCATCTGCTTGTCCTCTCGATACTATTACTTTCTTCCCCAAACGCTTTGGGTGTCTCCGGGCTCTTCTAACATTATGCTTAGTCTACACAAGTAAACTTATCTCCACCAAAGTTGCCTTGTCTCTCTTCCGGTGCTTGTCTCCTTTATACCCGTGTCGGTTCATGTGTTACCTATCGATAAACAGTGGCGCCAAATAATTGCGCGGAATCTGCAAAAGCCGGCCGATTAAACTACTTTAGGACCATATCGCAATATACCACGGCATCTTTCGACAGGGCTCGGACCTAGTATACTTGTCTATCATAATCATGTCCTTTGACCCTACGGAAAATGGCTCTGGAAAGCCTCGTTTGCATACGGCTCGCTCGTTTCCCAGGATGGATACTTCAGAGGCAGGCCCTTTCATTCGCTCAAGGTCTAAGACCTTTCAGTCAGTAGCAACGCCAGAGCATGTCGACTCTGATGCGCATCCCTTACCATTGTCGCCAGCCGAAGAGGACCAGGAGACGGGCCCTGACCTGTTTGAAAAAGCGGGTCTCTCAGAGCCAGGCATCAATGATGATGGACAAGGCGAGGAGGTTTCAGTGCTATCGCGGAATGCAGAGGAACAATCAGAGGAATTACCAATAGAGCTGATCAGTCTAACTGACCGGTAGGATGAAGCGCTCAGTTTCTTAGCGGTGTTATCAATTGCTGACAATAATACCTGTTAGATTTGTCAACTCTTTAAGTGCAAAAGTACACAGCTCACCACCAACGATCGAGAAAATTTCCCTTCTTTACCAAGATTTTTATGTCCGAGCAGAATCACATATAGCCACACACATATCTGCCCTCGCTTCCCGAATAAACCGGGATCCATCGCCACATCCTCAGCCGAAGTCAAAGAGTAAACACGTCGAAAATAGCCGACAGATGCTAACAGCATCAGAAGTCACAGAAAAGCGGATTGCCCGGAAGATGCTTGCTTCTAAGCGCGTCGCTTTGGAAGAAGCAGTGGAGCGAAGAGCTTGTGAGAGTATCTACGACAAAATATGGCGGCATAAAAGTACACTGGATGAAGTTAGAGACGAGAAGTTACGTTCTAAAACAGCCACATTGCTCCTAGTCGGAATAAACCTGAATGACCTTGGGGTTGATGTCGACACGGCTTCGATCGACGTAGAAAGGCAGAAGGAAGCTGACGAGGGTCTATCTGTTGCCAGGGACTATCTTAAGAAAATGAACGAAGAAAAATACCCATTAGGGAAGCTTCGGCATCTCGCCGCTGCCCACAAAGCGATAGTTGATGCCTTAACAAAGCTACTGCCTTCTTCATCCTCTGCTGATGAAATTCTACCTACCTTGATCTACTCGCTTATCATATCCCCACCGGAGGGCATTAACGTCATAAGTAACTTACTGTTCATACAGAGATTCCGGTCGTCAAACAAAATTGACGGCGAGACTGCATATTGTTTGACAAACCTTGAGGCTGCAATAAGCTTCTTGGAAAATGTGGAACTTTCTGAGCTCCGTGCTGACCAAGTGCCAGAAGGTCAGATGAAAGCTCCTAGCAACGAACCTACACCGGCCGTTGAAAAGAGCGATCCTCGGCAACCTAGCAAAGATGAACCAGCTTCATCCCTTACAACAGCGACGACTGTTGCGGAATTCTCGAAGTCCACCAGCAAGGAATCCGCCTCCAATACGTTGCCCAGGACTCAACAGTCTGCAACAACGCAGCAACGTTTGAATAACCTATTTCAACCCCCGTCAAAGGTCTTCGGTGCAGCAAACGATGCTGTGCGTAATACTGCAGATCAGAGCCTAAAGAATATAGGTGCAACATTGGACAGCAGTTTTAGTTTCCTTTTCGGCCGTCTCAAAGAATTGCAGTCCAGCCAACATGCTGGCAAAGATGGAGGTAATCCGATAGTACCAAAAACACTGGCAGAAGCCAGACGTCTGGTTACGTCTCCATCCTCTGCAGATATTACCTCCCCCAGCCAAGAATTCAAGTCAACGAGGGAGGCGCCCAACGATCGACCTCACCTCAGACGTATCGGCTCGAAGGCAGAAGATACTTTCTTGGGATTGGTTGGTGGGCAGAGGACGCCGCGCGACCGAAGTGCAGACAGCGTCAGAACGCAAGGAAGCTCCAAGAAGATTAACGCTGCATCGAGCTCATTAAAAGATGAACCGTCATCCAGCATGTCACAGATCTCCCCAGCTAGCTCGTCTTCCCTGGCCCCTACACCTCTGGAATCGATGCGGAACTTTGGGAATACACTTAATCCCCTTAATCATATCCCTGGCATGATCAGGAGCTTCGGTCGTGCTACTCCAGACGGCACGGGGGTCCTTTCCACTCCCTCTCCTTCTACGAAGAGCCCTCCTATCTCAAGGGAAATGTCCTCAAGCATTCTCACTACTTCGTCTAAGATCGATCCCCCGATTCAGCGTTTCCTTCAGACAGCACAGGCCAGCGATCTCACGATTGGAGATGTAACCACTCTACTTGAAGATTATAAAAGGATCGCCGCAGTGTTGTTAAAGCAGGGCTCGAACTCAAAATGAAGACCAAATCTCTGAACTCACCTTGGTCTCGCCGATTCTTGTAGTATTTTTTTTTTTTTTTTTTTTTTTTATCGTCATAGCGTTGCGAATTCTAAGTAATAGACTACCGGGGGCGTTTTGTCTTTCGACCTAACACATGGAATAGTTTTTTTCAGGTAGCTAGCATTGCGTGCAGCTTAAATATGTCCTGTGTGATCTGAATGTTCATTTCGTACAGTAGTAATACTACCAGTGCCCTTGTTGAACCATGGCACCCATCATTTTTATTAAAACCAAATAGAACCCCCTCGCTATGCTTAGACTAGCTTAGTGACGTTGGGATAAGTATATGAACATGTGTATAGACAGGTGAATATGAAGAGCTGCAGGCGTATTCGACAAATCTCCAGGATCGGAATACGTTGCAGCATGAATAGGACCGAAATTAAAGATACACTTCACGGAGTGCGACCACGTAGGACCTCAGCCCCACCCGTCCTCATTCCATCTAGCTTTTTAGAAAGATCAGAAGATTGCTCCTCAACGCTTTCATGTCTTCTCCTGATCTCGGCTTCGAACACAGCGGCGGTTTTTCGTCGAGCATGACGCAGGTCCTTCATCTTGGTGAGCACCTGAGTGAATTGATCTATTAATTGATCACCACAATCCTCCCATTCGTTCATTGATAGATTGGAGAAATAAGTGCGGCGGTCGGCGTCTGAAAGATTCATAAGGTACGGGATTTTGTCTTCTGGGTCGGGTTGCGTTTCCTGGGTTGCGTTCGGTGATGGGGCGGCTGCTGGAATATGGTCAAAAGGTTCCGCTTGGAGCTCGGCGAATGATTTCTGATAAAGTATATCTGGCGGATAGTCTGGTTCAATATGACGCTTCTTCGGATTGTGTTGATCCGGGCTAATACGCTGAACTGAGAGACGTCTGGAGAAGGGGTCATTGATAGGGTCATCATCGTCATTAAGGGCATCGATATTCGTCATGTCAAAAGCGGTTATTGACTGTACGCTGCCTCGTCTTCCGTAGCTGTTTGAAAAGAACCCAAGGCCTACATTTTCCACAGAGTCTGAGGTTTCAATGCTCGTGATTCTCTGGGATTTCTGCGGCCGAGGACCAGGGGTACGACGTGTAGGGGTCAAGTCTAATTGTTCCAGAAGAGTGGGCTTTGGTGGGCTGAATCTTGTCCTCGGGGTTGCACTCGTGTTAGGAGGGAGCGTAACCTTCCTAGGTGCAGTGGCAGGTAGGACTTGGCTAGTCCGTTTGGCGTCCTGTATTGACCGGGTGAAAGTTGGGATTTTTGATGACTCCACCTGAGCCTGGTTTTCTGGCTGTTGGTACGTCTTTCGGCCAGCATTCCAGAAGTTATGCAGACGTTTGCTCAGAGGCTCATCATTGAGGCGTTTCCTAATAGGAACTACCGATTCGTTGGTTCCGTCGGAGGCCTCATCATCACCCGCCACTGATGTTAGCTGACTTTCATTGTCAACTTCATCCGAGTCGAATCCGGCTGTTTTCATAGCTCTGTCCCCGAAATTATCATACCACTGAGAGTCAAAAGGCCGGCGTGTTTGTTGGAATTGGTGCAGAGAGTTCGCAGCAGCACCTTGCTGTCGAGCATTCGGAGCAGGCGAGTATCGGTATGGAAGATCCTCAACACCAACAACACTTGTTGCAGCAATGGTCGAGTCATCAACACCTTCCACGTCTGTGTCAAACATGTCCTTCTTCGCACCATTGTCATTTGGTGCATGCGACCCCCCAGGAGCAGGCGGGCCACCGGAGTGCTCGAACTGTGTTGGTCTACTGATTGGCAGAGGTGCAGGCGCAATCAATCTTGGTGTCGGAACTTCAACCCTTGCCTGCTCGGCTATCTGCTGCCGTGATTGATTGGAGACATCAAGTTTAGGTGGTCTGTGGTGACCAGCTTCTTTTGAATGTACATAATCTCCGACACCCATTGTCGCTGAAATGAGAAGTGGAATGAACAGCCAATTTAAACATGCAATGAGGGATAGAGAATCGGAGACAACTTCATTATACTAGGGGTTCTCCACTCAGGACACAGATAATCTACCAGTGGTTGCAGTGGGGTCAATCAAGTTTGCCATGGATAAATATCGGCCTTACTCAGAGTGGTGGACGCGTTACCTTGATTTTGCCTTTAAGGCACACGCGAGGCATCCACGAGATCACGTGCTATTGGTGTGGTGCATAGTATAGTCTCAATTGCAGTCAAGCTCTTTTTAGGTATTTTGAAAGGAGCTGGTCGAAAATCTAAATATGTGGTTGTACATAAAGATGTTAATGCATTATGAATAGATGAATATTGTTTTTGCGTATACCTCATCCTGCATCTCACGTCTCTACTGTGATCGCTCGGAGATATAAATTTCATCATACCTTTTCCCCTTGGAGAGTGATCCTATCTATGCGTGCAAGCATCGCCTTATCCATCGAGAGAAGCATTGTCGTCAATGTGTAGGTCCTCAAGTGTCGAGGTCATTCCTTTACCCCGCTGCTTCGCTTTCTCAAGGAAATCTTGAGCCTTTTCAACCTCGGATTGCCTCTTCTCATCTGCAAGTCTCTGCTCCCGTCTGGCTTGAATTGAGTTTTGAAAGTCATCTCCCGAGATCAAGTCGTTGTCATCGAACCCGTCGGTATCCTCCACACGATGGGCCAAGGAGGACATGAAAAGGTCGCCTATCCAAAGAGAGATCATGCCTCTAAGTTCTAATAGCTCGGGAGAATCCGAGTAAGGCGGAGAGACAAGAACTTCATCCATTCTTGCCGCAATCTTCTGGGCTTCGTGTAGCTCAACTGCCCTGATGTCTGCGACGAGGATCTGCATTTCTTGACTTGAGCCATCAGAACTCTCTAGATCAGATGCTGCATCGTCCGTGTCTTCCTTGGGTGCAACTTCCTGGCGATTCTGGATATCTTGGCGAGCAGCATTGCTCTCCTCTTGCGCAACATAAACCCAAAGTCCAAACATGGCTTGGTAAAAGTGCAAAGAACTTGTGAAGTCTGGAGCAGTTTTCCGAAATGGATACTGGATCACGAGTCTCTCATAGTATTGCTTGGCAGCCTCGAACCCTTTTCTTGTAAAATGAAGCCCAGAAACTTCCGTCTTCTGGCCATTTTTGATAGCTCTCGCAGATCCCGAGGCGTGGTCTGAAAGCTGGCGATCTCGACGAAGCAATATTTCAGCCCCAATACCCCATCTCCCTTCAGCGCGCACATCGATTGGGTTTCCTTGAAACTCCTCACGAAGGATTAACCCCCAGACTCTTCCAGCACGGATATAGTCTCTATCAAGAAGACAACGATGCAAAATAGAAGAGAGAACAGCGAGATGTTGCAGACGAAGGTTGCCTTGATAGGCTGCAGACTGTGGTGGGTAAATTGGTGGTGTCAATGATGATAAACCTTTCATAACATTCTCCTTTCCTCGGTTGCTAGCGGTTTCATCTTTGGCGGGTCCATGTGGGAAATGGCCCCCTGGTAGTTCTCTGTCGAAAGATAGACCGGCTATGCGATATTGGTGTGCTTCTTCTGGTGACAGAATCAATGATGCCCCGGAAGGTGCAATTTCAGATCCTGCATCAGTTGTTTCGCCTTCAAAAACATCGTCCTCAGTGTCCCATCCATAATAGTCTTTCCTACGCTTCCTAGACTCATACCGCGCAACGCGTGCACTTTGAGGTTGTTGCCATGATGGAATTGGCAATGAGAAGGCAGAGGCTGACGGAACAGATGCCATCAGCGGTTAAGAGATGAGTAATCTATGGTCTGAATGTTTGAGCCACTATCCATGGATGCATTGGTCATATGTCCAAGAGTAATTATCCATATGCTTGATTGACCTTAATCGTAGCTCTTGCTCTAGTTGTATCGCAAAGAAGGAACGCGGTTCCGTTGTAGAGTTTGGAATATAGTATCCTGAGGCACCAAGGCATCACAAGAGCTAAACCTCAGGCTCCACTAGGTGTAGTGATTGGCAATCAAATATTCACCGCTTACTTCATTAGACAGGGCTTGTCCTCTGCTAGTACTTAGTGCTAGTACTTAGTAGTAGGTACTAGTAGTAGATGGCTCGACCAGTTTAATATGGACGAGAGCCTGGTAACTACTCGGTAGTTGGTACGTTATTAGTACTACTCGTCCGGATTAATTTGGAGATGTTGTTGGAATAACGTATTTACGTACCGGGAGTTTTCGCATATTGTATGGTGTGGACGGATTTGAGCTTCATCTTACCTTGGCCCTACCTGCTATCATGAATCCAATAGAGAAAAGGTCCAAGAGATAGCCTATTTTTGGTTTATGCAGATGAAGCGCTTTCGGTCAAGAAACAATCATCATGTATGTACGTTCCCGGCAAGCATGTATTGTACTGTAACACAACTGTCACCCTACTCCGAGCACTCCGTATTAGGATGCCAATCCCTCAGCCAAGAAAGTCACGAGCTAGCCTCGACCCGCCTTAACCAAAGCGCCCTGACTTAAGACACCACTCCAATTTAGGCGCGGCCGTTATCAATTGCCATCATCATCATCAGCATCAGCATCACTACCACTACCACCACCACCATCATCCTTCCACCTCCCTCGTTCCTGCCGTCTCCTTCGTTTTAAATCCACAATATCGCATATAACATTACGTTTAAGTAGTGACCTCCGGCCGACCACCTGGCACTACAACGTACCTACCGTTTCTATTCTTGAATTCTCTCCCTGATGGTCTAATTTCCATAGCCGACTTTGTATCGACAGTCCTTTCGCAGTTCCATTATATATTCCCATGTTTTTTGCCTAAGCCGTCCAATGGTATGTGGTATGTGGCTTTGTTGAATTAGTACGGTAGTTGGAACTCCCAGCACCGGAAGTCCACGGTGCTCAGGTGCTGCCGAGGATTCCGCGAATATGTTTGCCTTAACAATCATTTGACCTTCCACGTATCCCTGCTCCCATGTCACTATCTCCCTATCTCTCGAGCATGTTGCCCCTTAGCAGTGAATGCGGTATTGTTTGTCTTACTAATGTTGAACTGTGTCTCTTTAGTCATCAAATGCCGATGGCAATACTAGGCGGTTTATAAATCCCAGCGCCACGTCCTGACCATTCATTTGATACTATGGGACAATCTTCCTCTACGCATCAACGCCACAACAGTCCTTCGAACCGTCTGTCATTCATACACCGTGGTCATCGCGATAGGGATAGGGATATGAATAACGATCACAACTTCGAACAACACGGGGTGTTTAGGCCCCAACGAGGGGCGGATAATGGCGATATGCTACCGGATCAAGCCAGCTCAGGTGGGGAGACATGGCGGCCGGCCGAAGAGCAATCGGCCGGTATAGGACATATGGGAAGCATTCAAGAAGAAAATGGGCCACAGTATGAACCGACTCAGCGGGAGTATCGGTCTGCGATCTTCGCCCGCATGGCAGCAAGAAGGCAATCCACGATGTCAAGGCTGGGATCCAGGATTCTGCCAAACTCAGTTATTCGTGGCCTTCTTAGCAGCGAAGAAGAAACCCCTGCTGAGGGCCACGCTCATCGACACGGAATCGTATCAAGATCGATACCAAGATCAGAAGTCACTCATAGCAGCAGTCGTTTTAGTCCGTTTAGCTCGCTTAGCGCAAGAGGTATCTCTCGACGACGCTCTGCCCGTGGTCCCTATTTCATTCCACGTAGTGATCCGGGGCTGCTTTCGGATGCTCCTCATTCTCCTACTTTTTTCGACCCTACCTCAGATCATACACCGGACACAACCAGGAGTTCTTGGCGTCGAAGTGCTCGATTGCATCGCGTTAGAAATTCACTTTCGGGTCCGATCACGCAGATGTTCGGCCAACCGTCGACAAACATGTCTGATCAGAACGTTGGAGATATACGCCATTCGATGGGACCAATACCTGGCGACCCTCCAGGTACATTCTTCCCTCAACCAGGGCCAATGACTAGTGAGATGGACTTTGATGAGCCCCATGAACTCGATTCCGTGGAGCCTGCTATAGGAAACACCCGCCCCGTCTCTCCGATGTCTTTGCAGTCCGGACAAAGCCAAACTGGCTTGCGGCACTTCCCAAATCTGTTGCGAGCACGCCCATCCAGAGTTTTGCGGCGAGAGGAGCAGACACCGCTCTCGCGTGTCCTTCAACTGGCGGCTGCTGCCATTGCTGCCCAACTTTCTGGCACAACTGGCCCTGTAATGCCTAATATTCAAGCCCTTGGCAACGAAGGTCTCGACAATTCGCTAGAAAACTTTATACAGAGTTTACAGCACGCTACCTCCGCACAGACAGCAGGTGATAGTCAAGCCGCTTCTGGGGACAATGGAGCGCCAACTCCGGTCAATTTCTTACGGGTATTCCGATTCGCAAATTCAGATGGCGTAAGGCCCTCAGCAACTTCAGATCGATCTGCAACAGCCACGAATGCTCCAGAGAGTGGCGCAGATGGGATGGATGCTGAGAACCCCACGGATGGTCCTGAAGGACGTACTGTTACCCTGGTTGTTGTGGGAGTAAGGTCTGTCCCGTCAGGTAATAATCCCGGCAATGACCAGCAGAATGCTGGCCCTGGACCGGGCTTGGATACGTTACTCCGTCTACCGTTCTTGTCACCAGGAAGTCTACCACGGAATTCAGAAAACGGTCCTAACCTCACGTCACGCGCTGAAGGACGGCCAAGATTCATACCTAGTCGGCATCAAACTGGAGGTCCTAGTACTACACCTAATAATGAAGATATTCCCCTGCAACTCGGACATCGGAGTCCGTCAAGGAGGCTATCTGACACTGGGAGTCGTGGACCTCTCTCATCTCTTCCTTCCATCATCTCTGAAACCCCTCCTGGCCCTCACCCTCCACCATCGACGCCTGCTGACCCTGGGCTTTCAGCCGTGTCGTCGGGTGCTTCAACTCCAAGCCGAAGACCATCTTCTGCATCGGTGATGTCCCCAAGCACCTTGCCGCAACTGAATGAGCACCGGATTATGCAGCCTCCAGCTGAACCTGCTGATGGTACTATTCCATTCAACATATCTCGTCAGCGACGTCGTAGTGATTCTGAGTATGTCCGCCATCGTGACCTAGGCGCTGGTGCAGTCCGGCGCAATGGTGTTGTCGAACCGGACAATGCTCCTTCTCCTGCAGGTAGAAGCTGGTTGATCTATGTTGTGGGAACAAACCTTTCCGAAAATCACCCTGCGTTTGCGACACCAAGCCTCTTCACCGATGTAAGGATGACATGTTCCTCCCTTTGCCCATAGAACCCAAGCTAACCTAAATACTAGAACCCAACTTATGAAGACATGATTCTACTCTCGTCTCTCCTTGGTCCAGTGAAGCCCCCAGTTGCCACACAGGAGGACCTCACTTCGGCTGGTGGAGTATACCGTATTGTAGAATATAGTGGCTCTCTTGTTGCGGAAGCCCTGGGTGGTGCTGGCGCCATTCAAATTCCCGACGGGGATCGATGCCTGATCTGCCTTAGCGATTACGAAGCTTCTGAAGAGCTCCGGCAATTGACCAAATGTGCGCATGTGTTCCACCGAGATTGCATAGATCAGGTTTGTCAACACATCTATTTTGGGCCTTTTCCATGGAACTAACAGATTCTATAGTGGTTGACAACTGGTCGCAACTCTTGCCCTCTATGCAGAGGTCAGGGCGTAGCTGAGACATCGAATGCAGATCACACCCCAGAAAACACCTCATCTGCTTGATTGCCGTTTTCCTGCCTACAATGAAAATCGTCTGTCCCGCTGCCACCCATTTGCATTGGTTATCAATCAAGATTTGCATGAAGCGCATATTCCATAGCTTAACGAACTTTTTTTTTGTTTTCACCGAAGATATCCATTACAGCATTTTGTTTCTCTCTTCTGCATACTTCTTCCTGGAGCCTATTTATTTCCTCTGTTCTTAATTTTGGCTGTTGATATTGGGGCTGATAAAGGCAGGATGGTGAGACAACGGATAGAATGACGCGGAATTGTCTCTTAACTTTGCCAGGACACTGGGTTCATCATCTATGTCTCGTGTACCTTTTGATGTGACATAGGTATGAAATACTGAAACCTCTACTATAAGACACTAAGGTCAGGAGTTGTACCATATGGTGTGGTGAGCTAGAGAACGAGACTTGAGTGGTTCGCAATTGTGAATGTGAGATTATTTTATTTAGGCATTACGTGTTCAATCAACTAGTATACTAGTAGTAGTAGTAGTAGTAGTAGTAGTAGTAGTAGTAGTAGTAGTAGTAGTAGTAGTAGTAGGTATGAACTACAACACCTACAGTAATTCAGATGCCCCGCATGCGTCGAACTGGAAACCGAAACTGTTGCCCCTCTTCAACAAGCTGCTGACTCAGCCCACATCTTTCCTCGACCCCACCAAACTATATCTATTTATCAATCTATCGATCCTCACAGTCGTTGAGAGGAAAGATTAAGCTTATTTTCGCTACGTGGTGACTTTTCTTCCAATCGCCTGTCAGCTTCCACTGTCCACTCGACTGATATACTTACATTATAAATCTACCTGAATCAATTGAGTTGGGCAGAAATACAATTAGCAGGAATTGTTGCCAATCGTTATCGGCCGTCCCAACAGCGCTTCCTATTCTCCGTTTCTCCAGCCACCCCTATACATTATAGCCAGGATGGATACACCGATTCGAGTCACCGTATTGATATCAGGCAATGGTTCAAACCTCCAGACCGTCATCGACCGGACAGTTGCGGGGCAGCTTCCGGTGAACATTGTCCGAGTCTTATCGAACCGCAAAGACGCATTTGGACTCGAACGTGCCCGACGTGCAAACATTCCTACACATTACCACAACCTTGTGAAATATAAGAAGCAGCACCCTGCAACACCAGAGGGTATCCAGGCGGCTCGGGAGGAATATGATGCGGAGTTGGCGAGGTTGGTCCTGGCTGATAGTCCAGACATGGTAGCTTGTCTGGGATTTATGCA